ACACACACACACACACACACAACTTGGTGTCTGCCTTCAGCTCCTAAAGCGTGCCCTGCCAGAGGGGTTTGGACTAATTGATATTCTCCCACACTGCCCAGGGCTTCTCCAAGGAACCTCATTCTGCAGTGCTGCTGACAAGGCACATTCCGTCACTGCTGCAGGCTTAAAATAGGATCAAAGGATGGAGCAGTATGTGTGTGTATGAGACAGAAAGAGAGAAGATGTGTGTGACCAGCATGTTGGCTCCTCTGTGAATTGTGACAGTGTTGTTTTGCTTCTGCATGCCTTGCTTTCCCACCCTTTTGATTTCCCTCTTTATTTGTATACCTCTCTTTATATTAGTCTTTTTGCCCATGTTAGTGTCCTTAAATACCCTCATTGTGCTTCAACCCAAATTATGCACCATATAACTGTATTGTTTGTGATTTGGGCTGTTATTCGGTAGTTAACCAATCACCGTTTGTGAGGGCCCACAGGCCTGTGTATAATCACTGGCACTCATACCCAATTTGGCTTCCGTCCACCTGCTAATCAGGTTTTCTTTAGATGCGCAAAAAGTCAGAGTAGATGGCAAAAAAAGCCTCCAGCCAAATCTTTTTTTTTTTTTCACCAAATGACCTTTCTGTCCAAATTTACAGTTGCCAAGAAGACTTAATTTGGTTGGTCCATTAGCCTTATCGCCATGGAAACTCACAATTCAATCAAGATGTCAATATGACTTAACATCTTGTCCAATTATTCCTTCCCATAACCCCATCCTCCAACTCCCCTTCTCTGATTTGATCATGTGGAGGGGTGAAGACCATGCATGGTAGTCGATCTTGTTTCACTGTAGTTCAGCAACATAAGTGTTAACTATGTTTTTTAAATCTGGGAGTAAGCTATTTGTGAGTGGTGCTCACATTTTGAAGCCACTGTGTTTCATTAATGTCTCTGTCGGAGGGCACTCTAATCTCATCCCTTGGGGAGGGGCAACACTCCATCAAGCTCACAACAGAGAGACATATTGTAATGTGGCTATACATATTCTGTGCTGGCATATTTAGTACACCTAGTGTCGATTATGTGACATACATTTAGAGAACTTTATGACACTCTGCAGTGAGATGATGAAGCAGCTATTTGAAGGTCTGTGAGCAGAGACTTAATGTATCTGCTCTTTTATTTGTTTGGAACTAAATCTCTCTAGGGTTGTTTTCTAACCTTTTTAAATATATTATTCATTGACAGTGTAGCGGGAGCGGCCTTGTCATCTATAAAGCAACACTTAGGGATTGCTTCTCAGTTGATCACTCCAGCAAGCTCATTCATTCACCTTCTTATTATGAGACTGCGGCAGGAAATTGCCAGAGGAACCACCGACAGATGCAGGGCAATAGTCATAAGAAAGGCCCTGGTCCTGAAATTGAATGCTACGCATTGATGTGACACCGGCTGTATGAAATCATTAAAGTATTCAATATTCACTTAATAAGGAATTATTTGTGGAGGACTGTATAGATTTGTTTATTGGATCCCCAATAGCTACTGTATCACAAAACAACAAACTATTTTGGACGTTCTTGTCATTCGCCAGTCATCTAAATGTATCCATGTTTTTGTTAACTATCTATTCGTTTTTATTTTGAATTTTGGGATACTTTGAATCCACTATAAATTTAAAATATAAAGCACTAAAGCAAAGTTGTAGCACTGTAGACACTATGGTCTATATCCAATTTCTTCTTCTTCAAGATCTTGTGATTGGTTACTTTGTGCCATGCATGGAGTATTTAGACCTGTAGGACATAAATGTAGGGCACAAGGAGACGTTCATAAGACCAGAATACCAAGATGTGTGATATGTACCAAAGTAAGTTTGAAGAGACAGTATCCCATATATTGTGCTGCTTTCCGGCCATGACAATAAAATTGGTATCTTTGGAAACTTTTGGATCTCAACTATAATTTAAAAGAAAGTACTTTGGAACTGTTCTGAGTCTCCTCAGTAATTAGTTTGACTACACTATAGACAGGGGCGAAGCACAAAATTCTGAACCCTGTACATAGGCTTTCTTTATGGGCCCCTGCCTGCTCATATTCTTGGTCCTCAGCATGATTTATAATTTTATAACTCACATGACTTTCTGGCACTCGCCACCTCCAGGGCCTAACCACGCACAATTTTTTTTTTGTGACTGTTTAACATAAGCTCTCCATTTTCATTCCCTTTTACAAGCTCTTCATGTGTACTCATCTATCTTAGCTCCCTGATTAGCTTGGACTATTAGACTCATCAAAACAAATGAGACACATACACATGCACTGTAGAACACTGACAGTCCATAAGCAGGCTCTCTAAGCTTTTATTGCTTCAGTAGATGGACTGATGATATGATGATGACTAAAGAGCTGAAGCATGGGGAGAAAGAGAAAGACAGGGAGAAAAAGAAAATGACACAAATCCTAGCTAAGCAAAAATTATTACTCAATTTAAATTAAATTAGCACTCTGTCTTTGATGAGGCAATGTGATTTGATTTCTGTTTAGCTCGTTTAGCTTCTTTTTTTTTCACTGGGCCTTAGAAGTACTGAGTCCTATTGAGTTTTTTTCCTTTCAAGAAGGGTGATAAAAGAACATGGCCCTGGAGCAAAGTAATAGCAATAATCAAAGGGGTTGTTTACCCCAGTTCCATTGGGTGACATTTGCTTTGCCTCGGCAGCAGGACATCCAACTAACAGTAATGTAATTTTCTCAGAGGAGATTAGATTAAAAGGTTCTGACCTGGTGAGGCTGTGGCTTCACATGTTTGCATCAGATTCTGCCCCGCTGAATCTTAGTGCATTTGGGTCTTCATGTTTTCCATTCAGGTCATCTGTGGATGGTATTACGATCTCTGGGATTCTGTGTCAAGAATGTATCGATAATAAAGGATTACAAGGTGATATGCACAGTATTTCACATGTGTCTTCTTTGCAACAGGCTCATTTCTTGCAAATTAGATCCTGAGGCAACATTCAGTCTTCTTTCATTTGTGGCTAGTCCTGGATGAAATGCCCAAATGTGTTAATCTTAACTGCTGCTCTCTGTGACCCAGCTTAAAGAACGAAGTGTTTAAAGTGTTTGTGAACAAATGAATGTGAACAGCTTGGGACAGACTGTCATTTCACCGTAACCGTGTTAGGTCCTAGAAGGGGCAGTATAAATGGGGCATTAGAAGTCACAGGAAAAGGTCTTGGCTTAGAGGACATTGGGATGGGACTGCCATGGACTCTCATTCGTTCACATGTAGGAGGAAAAAAAATGTAGGTATGTGCGTCCTTGTTTTGCTTCTTGAATGAATAGTTCACAGGGTTTTGATGTGCTTTTTGACACCCTACTTTGTATTCGGTTTGATGTACAAAGCATCCACTCCTCCAGTATGTGCTTTGGTAAGGCTTTTGCATGTGCATGTCTGTGCTATGTGTAGAAGAAAGCTTGTCTGACTATCCATGCATTCAACCTCATGCTTAAAAGGTAAAAGCCACCGTAAAAACCCTCTCCTCTCCAGTATTATCCCAAACTTTCAGTTTGTCCATTGTCATCATTAAGTACATACAATTAACTATTTGTAAAAAAAAAAAAAAAAAAAAAAAGAAATGTACAAACATAGTCTAATACTATCCTGCTGCTTAATTTTAGCTAAACCTGCAGGTATATATATATAGTCCCTTATTTATATTCAGAAACAGCGCTGTGACAGTGCTGCTCTGTAGGTTGTAGTGGGTGAGGGACCATTGTTGAGCTGACAGTGTCCGCTGCTGGTTGCAGCGTTAACTGCAGTGCCTCCGACAGCGCCGCAGAGCAGGAGGCTTCTCATCAGCTACGGGACATAATCTCTTGACCAAGTGGAGTGGGGTGAGGAGGAAAGAAACACCTAATAACCGGTGCACATACCTAAGCATGATTTTAAACCAGCCGGATAATAAATAGCCTACCCCTCAATGTGAATTTGATAAGATAGTCTGTATGTATTTTAATTCTGTAGGCAGTATCTTCAGCTGCCACGCAGTGACGTTATCATTTCACCGGTAGGCCTATTCCTTTTTAAATGACACATACTCTGACAATTTTTGCTATAATGGAAAAGAATGAACAAGAATGATCCCATCAGTATTGTCTGACAGTTCAACCCGTTCTAAATCCTTACATCCGCACATCTGGATATCAACAGGTGCGTCTGGCGTGCGGAGAATGAACGCACACCAGGCCAACGCAAATACAACGCTCGGGTCCCCTGTGAGCCTGTGAGTTTAATTACAGCCACAAACAGCAGATGGCTCTCTTGAGTTTTAATTTCCTTTCCTGTGATTGAGAATGAGATGATATTCTCCCCAAACAAGAAGAGGATCAAATATGTTGTCTTAAACTGGCTAATATTGTGTGGAACCGACACGTCCAATTCATCATCTAAATAGAGGAGGAAGGCGCATTAAGTGGACATCCACTTGCTTGTGGTTCACATAAGAGATCCTGCAGTTTCTGGTGGACGTTTAAGTAAAGGTTGTGATATCCGACTGAAGGAAACGTTTGACTCCATCATTGCGCGGTGCTGTCCGTGGTGCTAAAAGCACAGAATAAATGGAGCGTGCAGCAGCAAAACAATATGAATGTGCTATTTCACAACACCTGCAGAAACTAGTATTTCCCCTTTCGTGATGAAGGAAATAAAGACATTGTAATTTACTTGGATTCTTTTTTAAATATAAAAAAAATGCAGATTTGACTGAAACGGAGGTGAAACACAAATGTACAAATGCCAATACTCCTTTGTATTAACATTCTGTAGTGACCTCCAGTTATTATTACAGCAAAGATAAGTGTTTCCTATCAGCATAGCAACACGTCTAATGACAGCATCAAGACCCGGTTGCTCATTCTCCTTCAAGCCTAGGCTTGGTCAAGTGGTCGGGAGGGTGGTCGGGAGGGAGGGAGGGAGGGCGTCTGGGAGGGCATCCTCTTCACGTGTACCAACGAGTGGTTAGGACTTGTTGATAGGAATGATTTGTTGATCTGGGGTATATAGACTGAAGCAAGTGGCCACAGCTCCTTATTGCGTTTTTTTTTTCCTTTGAGCGTGGGAAAAGAAATTTGGCTGTATATCAGTGGCGTTACTTTTCCATTTCCCCTTTACGCACCGATAGCCAAACATGCATCACCCACGCCATGGGCTGTATAGGAAAATCCACTGGGTCGAAGGTTCTGCTGATCGCCGGGGATTTTAAGTTCATATATATTTGTATGCAGCTTGTCACACTATGCAGACGTCATCTCCACAGGATTTAGATCAGCTTTGGTTATGTTATTTCTCCCTGGCTCCTATCGCGCCCAGCCGCCTGTGTTGTGATTGTGGAATACGGTGAAGAAAATGTGTTTTGAAAACGTTATCCGGCACGTCGGCCGTTACTTGGAATACAACTTTGCATTAAATTAGCCTGCTGCATCAATGTGTAACTCTCCTACGGTTGCGTATTTCTTTCCATCTCCCAATTTGTGACTGTTGATCAGTCACCGCAGGGTCGCTGTCGCCTTCTTGCAAACTTGGAGTTCGTTTTCGCCCGGGCTGCTGTGCCTTCACTCGAGTGGTGATCTTCGTAGGAGGCGCCTGTACATTTGCTTGACTGCTGCCGGCGCACATGCAGAGGCGCCCCTTACGGCTACCCAAACAGCGACTTCTGATAGAGCAACCTCGTCTGGCAGAAGGAGGAGAAAAACGGAGGGCGAACGGAGTGGGTGAACATGCTGTGAGGACGCTGCAGCCGGTATTGGACATTAACGAGGCGATGCTACTGAACATGTCACAGACAATGAACAAAAACATCACTGTGCAGGTATGAATATTGCTCTGAAATCTCGGTCCGCGTGAGTTTGGCATAGCTCTTCATCAAGACTATGGTTATTGAGGAATGTATGGAATTACGCATGAACTGATCTCATTTTTCCATCATGTCCAAGAATTTTCCGAGTGATGATGACAGCTGTTTTAATATCGCAATTATCATGTAGCATTTGGACAAAAATGGAAACCCGCTCATAAAAATCTATATATATTTGACATTTGACACAACGGACCACTTAGCCGCCACCATGGGACTGTGACCCGGGCTGCGAGCTCTGAGAGGCGGCTGTTTGTGTAGTCTGTGCTCCGTGTGCAGACTGGACCTGAGCAGTTGTGACATTTTGAGCCATGGCTGCTGCTATCGCAAGTGGGCTGATCAGACAGAAGAGACAGGCACGGGAGCAGCATTTAGATCGGCCCTCGACCAACCGACGGAGGAAGAGCCCCAGCAAGAACAAGGGGCTCTGCAATGGGAACCTGGTCGACATCTTCTCTAAAGTGCGCATCTTCGGCCTCAGGAAGCGGAGACTACGGAGACAAGGTCTGGGAACTTTGGTGTGCAAGGTGCCTGCTGTGTTGGCGTAGAGCGTTGTGCATCCAGTGTACACGTGCATAAATTCAACCACTGGTTGATAGCTCAAATGAGGTCTTTAACAATCATATCTGCATTGCCAACTATGTGGTTAAAGTACACAAGATCATAAAAAAAGAATTATGCTAATTTATTTCTGTTTATACAAACTTGCCAAATTTCTCCAAGGTGCATAAAAAGTTCATTTGAGGGGGAGAAAACATTTTGTTTAGTATATCGGTCAGATTGTTGAAAATAACAAACCTGCCTCTGATTTAGATGCAATCCCAGGTAGCTGACAGACCCCTAAGGAGTTGTACCAAATGGTTTAGACAGGTTTACCGAGCTGTCACCTCGGCGATTCTGAAAAGGGCCTGATCGTTATAAAGCACATGCACGATTCTCTGAACTGCTCAGTACATAAGCACATCACTAAAGCCATCAATTAAACTAATTTATATGCAAGCAAAAATGTCAAAATCCCCCACGGAATGGAGGTTGCGCCTTTCAAACATAAGCTATTCTCGCATAATTTTCGAACTCGTGGGCCAATGGCCTGTTAATGCTCCAGCTGATATTCGTTCCACTTATTAGAATGTCATGAACATTTTTGCTCTAATGTGGCAACCTGGGATTGTTAAAGAGTACTGTCAACAATTATTTCACGGCTGGAATCAGTGCCAACTGCGAGGATAATTTTTCTTACAAAAATTAATTAGGATAATTCATTTAGGAAAGATATTACTCTCTCAATTATTTCCCCCTTGTTAAAGGATGAAGAGAAACTGGATGTTCCCCTTTGGAATCATCAGGTATCAAACCTGTTGCAACAGACATACTATAGATCCAACTGATTATCACCATTTTGCATAATTTAATGGCAAACTCACATGACAAAACATCATGTATTTTAACAAAGCACCTAGAAGCAGTGTTTAGTCGTTCATCTTGTTCACAAAGAGAGACATTTTGATAGCTCTCTCATTCCCCTTTCTGTGCTCATATTGGAACTGACCAATAGCCTACTATGAGTGAAAATGTCCCCTTCACTAACACTTCAGTACTACATGGATTAAAACGGCTTGGGTATAACAAGATCCATATTAGATTAAAGTAGCACCTGCATACCACATGGAATGGCAGATTATACTATGGAATACTCCAGGCCACTGTTTCTGCTTAGGTCCACCGTGTGTATGTGTTAGGATCTGTGTTGTTGTCTGAATGTTTGTGTGTCTAATTGTCTGTCCTCCTGTCATCTTGGAATTGGCTTGTGGCATAACTATCTTTTCATTTGAACATCACTAGTGTATAGCATCCGCCCCAGCAGATATGTGGACAGACGATGCTGTTGTCTGGTCTGGGAATTAATGTCTGGCCATGCCAATAGGAAAAAAAAAACATCCAAGGCTTTTTAGGTGTGGTGTATATTTTATCACGTCATGGATGTACACAACTGGGGTCTGGCCCAAATAAATCGGTGAGGCAAACATGTTGATGCCAAGTCAACCTGCCCTGGCAAACCTAAAATGACCTGACAACTTCACACCTGCAACAGCCATTTTATAGAGCGAGTTAGGGCCTCCCTGAGCCTCAGAATAATGACCATATTCCACAGTAGTAAAGTGTTGGTGAACTGTGTTGCGGCTCATGAGGCTTAAGAAAGCATGACCCTGGTGCCTGGAAGATGAGAAAGCCCTTCCAATAAAAGTGAAAATAAAATTAGGGGAAATGTGGTTTTAAAATGGGCATTTTGTCCTCATTTTTGAGGCTCTTATTAGAACACAGGGCAAACACTGTGTTTTCTCTTGCTTTAATTTTGTGTTATTTGTGATACGAGGCCTAATGGGAATATACTTAATTAATTTCACCCTCACCATGAGAATTAGGAAAATCTTTACCAACTGATCTCTGGCTTTGCTGTCAGGGGGTTGCTTTGAAAATGCTGCACATACCACTGTTTCTCTCCTCACTCCTCCACACGTCTCTTGCACACTCTTCTCTCTCCTTTTCTCTCTTATTCGCCGTATTATCACAAGAGCACACAGCTTAGGAAGACTAATGGCTTGTTTGGTGTGCTTAATTTAATATTGGCTCCCCAGAAGGATTTTGTTTTTTGGTGAGTGAATACAGTCGAATGCACCACCGATCATATGTGTTGTAATAACACAGCCAGACATACACAGTTGTCTTAATTTCCCAGGTGAGAAAGACATTGGGCTTACCTGTGACAGCTGAGCCTGCAGAGAACAGAGCAGCTTTCCAAACATCCAGACTATCATGATATATCAAAGACACATTCAGATTCCCTCTGAGAGCTGTCTGGACGAGGGAGTGGAGGTGTCGGTGCTCTAACACTGGTATTCCCTTTGGCTTTGAGTATTGATCTTGTGAATGAGACACAAGATTAGCTATTCTTATGGCCTGTATTGATTGGCACTGACATAAATGGTGTTTTTGAGCCAGAGCGTGCAGGTCCAATTAAAAGAAAAATCAATACAAAGATCCTCATCTTCACATTGTTTTTGAAATGTTATTATTATGGCAGGCTCTTCATAAAACAGGCTATCCGTAGACATGGATAAACAACACAAAATGAAGCGTTGTCTGCTGTGTTCATTAGAATGCACAGATGTGGTTTCCTGTCCTCATCCAACACTTTAGAATATGCTGAACGCTTTGAGTTTTTCTTCTGTCATATCAGCTTTAGTTTTAAATCATCAATCCATTTTGATAGCAGATGCGGAGCCAGTGATCACACTGATTTTTTAAAGGATTAGATGTGAGTTGTAAATCCTGTTAAAAAACCCAGTAAGTGAGCTGGGGGCACATCCAGCTGGAGCTCTCCCATAATCTGACTGCTCTAGTTCTAATTATCCACTAGATTAGATCCATAGATCATATTACATAGATCAGACCATCAGATAAGCTTACATGATCTAGAAACCCATTTGAGATGAATGTTTTCTTTTGCCGTGGCAAACACTATGCGTCATCAGTGAGCTTTCAGGACTGCATGTATCAAATGAGGTATTGTTGAGATGTCAGAGATGTTGTTGATATAAGTGAAACTGGAAAGGGTTGGTAGTGCTGTATCTTTCCTTTGCGTTATCTACTTTTCCATAAAAACAGAAGCAACAAGGTTTGTTTTTTTTCAGGCTGGAAAAGCCCTTCTCCTATTCCTATTCCATTCCATTCAAAGTGGGTCAGGCAGGGCAGGGCTGACAGCAGTCTACAACTGCTGCTGCAGCTGTGCCCCTGTGTGTGTGTGTGTGTGTGTGTGTCCTTATACCCTGTGCTCTGTTTGCTTTGCACTGAGCTGAACATGTGTCTTTAAACACACACATCGCACAACACAAAATAAGACAGGAAGGGAACGAGGGAGCTGTAGGAAGGCCACTTTTAAAAAAGGAAAAGACATAGAAATCACAACCTTTCTGTGACAGTTCAATTTAAATGCAGAGAGGACTTCTACTACAGAACAACAGTACTTTCAGATCTTTGAGATCCGTTTTGATGCTTGTTGTTTTCCAAGGAAACCCCCTGCTGCTGCCAAACCACCACTCTGTTTCCCTAGAAACAAAGAAATGGCATTTAGAAACCTACAGTGCTTTTGTTGTAAAAACTACCAGTGCGACTGGGAAAGTCCATCTGCAGTAGAGGCTGGAAAGCCCATCTGTGATAAACAGCACTGTTGTTTCACCATTTGGGTAGCTATAGAGGGAGAAGGTTCAGACATACATGAAGAAGGAAACAGAGAGAAAAGAGACAAAAAAAACATGAGTAACCATGAGTAAGAAGGCGAATGAGTCCAGGACCTTCTTGACTTAGGGAATTCCACAGAGGCAGTCAAAGCAGAGTGCACCCACCACATCAAGCTTGTCTCACAGAACTGAAAATGCTGTGTCATTCTCAAAGCAATGAGTCTTTGCAGCATTTGTTTGCACACAACATTTCTATCTTCCCATTCTCATATTCCCTTTGTCGTAGTTATGTATAAGACAATTGTCTTTCTCGCATTCTCATTCTAATTCGATAAACTGCCCCACTTACTTAATATTTCAACAACTATAAATAAGAGCACATCTCTGTTGTGTAAATGATAAGTAATCTTCAACGAATTTTGGTTTTAAGAGAATAAATTACCTCCAATCCATCTGAAACATTTGATCTATTGGCCATGAGTAAGTTTGACCTTCACCGTGAGTTATATCAATGGGTTGCCAGTTTTGTAAGAATGTCACTCTTATGTGCGCACCAGCATAGATGAATGTCTGATGTGAAACGGTCAGTCATAAATAATGCACTGGTTATTCGAGGACATGGATTCAGGACATATTCATCCAGACACCCCTCTGAATAGGATTATTCTACATGTATACCATATATTATTGAATTACTGAATTGAATTTATTACACATTTTCAATTGCTTTATGACTTTTTAAACCAGTTTTATTCCCATTTGATAAATTAAAATAAAAATGTTGCAGATTTTGGCTCGCTCTTGCTGCAGTTCAGAAATACTATTGCTTGAAACTGGAGGGGGAATAAGTTTGTGTGTGTGCGTGCGTGCGTGTGTGTGTGTGTGTGAGATATACTACTGCCTCGCCCCAGGGAACACAGCCAACATCACATGATTTATAGCATGATGGAGGAGCCAAGTTCACCTCCACACACACTCACACACATACACAAAGAGGGAGTGTTCACACAGCCAGCAACCAGTTGTGCAGTTTTAATTATTACAGATTGCCCCCGATGGATCTGTATTCAGAATCAATCCCACTGCGACACATTGTTTAAATGCTGCTGATCAAAATTATTATTCGATCGCAGGTTAGCCAACTTTGTGTGTCCGCAACAAGAGTGTTTCCTCAAGGGAATTGTGTAGTCATTAAAAATGCATGTGAATTTGTGTGTGTAAAGCTTGTGTTTGTGTGCATGGGTGTGTTTTTGTCTCCTGCTCTTGCTGCTGTATGAATACTCCCCGTCTCCCCATTGTAGGGAATATGTGTGTGGTCTTGAGGTTGGACTGAATAGGGTTTGATTGCTGGATTATTGTGTGTTTGAAAACGGAATTAATCAATGAATTTAGCCATGTCCATTGTTATGACAACAATATTAAGAAATATTGTTGCATGGCTTGAACACATGCAGGATTTTATTCAGAGACATCCCATTATGCACCCTTATGTTTTTTTTTTTATGTATCCCTCTTAGATTGCAGTTCCTTTACTTTTTATATTCACTTTACTTTTCTTCTTTTGTGTTATTACAAACCTAAATTAAATTGCAACATGACTGGGTAATCAGCAGTTATTAAAGACGTTTATCAACCAAACATTTGTTGGTTCCAGCATCTCTAATGTGAGTTTTTCTCATGCTTCTCTTTGTTAAAACATTTGTAAATTAAATATCTTTTGAATTTTTGACTGTTTTTAACTATTTTAAGATATTTTATTGATTAAACTGTTTAAGCCTGTTTCTTCATAGTGATAGTGTCTTCACAGACTTAGACTTAGACTTCACTAAGTGTCTGCAGCAGATTTGAATACATCATCGTAAACCAGAGAGATACTGTTACTGTCCTGTCAGCCTGCTCAATGCATAGCGAAGGTACTCTGTCTACAGTCGGATTCTGCTTTAGCCACCGATTCATTGTTCAGGTGAAGCAACAAAGCAGCACTGTTGAATGCTGTTGTAGCGGTATTGCTTGGACACACCAGCAGGAGAGGCATTTTATCCCTTTTTCAGGCAGCAGGTAAAGGTCTCAGAGCTACCTAATGCCATCACCCAACAGAGCCATTTCAGAAGACACTGCCTTCAGGCATGAAAAAAAAAATTCTCTCTCTGCCCTCAACAAGACCTCTTGAGTTCTCCTTTGTGGCCATGCCTCTTTTTCTCTACTTTTCTCTCACTATCTCTCTGTCTCACATCCGCGCACACACGCGTGCACACACGCACAGTTGCTTGCAAAGAGCACGGTTTAGGCCCTGGTGAAGTTGATTGTTTGCCTCCCCAGGGCTTTCAAAGAATGAAATCTGGTGTGATGGCTGTCTCTACTTTAAGACTAATGTTGATGGTACATGACCCCAGTGGTTGTCTATGCACACGCCCAGACATGTACACACACACACACCCAGATGAAGAAATACCGGCTCACGGCTTGAGCACAAGCAATATTTTTCCAGAGACCATCCTGATGTGGAGACACACACAGGGTTATTAAAATCTATCCTTTTGAGCTTTCCATTCCTTTACTTCTTACATTTTCACTTTCGCTTTTTATCTTGTTATTACAAACCCACAAAATGCCAAAATTGCAACATGACCAGTTGAGCTGCAGTGTCGCGGGGCAATTTTACCGTAGCAGTGATTTACAGTAAATATGCGGCTTATTCCCCTGTTGGGTCAGCTGGAAGAGACAGTGCACAGACGCTTTCGCATCCTACACCCTAAGGACCCAGAGAGGGTGCTGTTGGGTTCATTATGGGAATCAGGAGACCGCAGATTAATTCTGCTGCCTATAATTGGATGGCCTATCTCTGAGCTGGACAGGGCTTATGTGCCCAGAAAGTTGGCTGTGGGATTTGCCTGCGAACATACATAGAAGACACCAAGTACTTTTTATTTGTTCTGTGCAGTGTTTCATGGTGTTTTATAGTTTAAAACCCCTCAGAAAACAACATGTTACAATATATTTGATATATTAAAGCAATTAGTTAAAGCTTATTTGGATTCCTCTAGCAGTCCCTGTAACAAGCTTTTCATCATTTTACTAATTGCTAATGCCACTGTTCTTTCTCCTTCTTTCTCTCCTGCAGATCCCCAGCTCAAGGGTATAGTGACCAGGTTATATTGCAGGCAGGGATACTACTTGCAAATGAACCCCGATGGCTCTCTTGATGGGACCAAGGATGACAGCAGTAATTCTTGTGAGTACTTTGATAGTGTCTGTTGGCCTTCTGGTTTAACATTAACAGAGAAAACTGAAAAAAACTATCAAGTTACTGGTACTTAAAATCAGTGTAGGATCCTTGAGCACAAACGTTTTCTTCTAGGAAACGCATTGCTGACTTCCTGGTCTAGATTCATCCCCCAGCCTTTTGCCTCAGAGCACAAGTGCCTTCTTAAATGGCAGCTTCAAGATCACACAGATTGATCCTCTTCTCTGAGAGGGAAAGTGGACCAGGAAACAGTAGGCTTAACAGGGAGGAAAAAGGTATTATTAGCTTGTTCTGGCACTGCTCCTCCAGTGCTCCAGGCTAGGTTGTTAATTTGATTCCAGTGCTTGGTTCTAACAGTAGCCTGACACTCTACATTCTGTCACTTACTCTTGTCAGCATGAGGCGATGTGGCACATGTCACATCTGATAGGCTGAAGGGACTTATTTAAACAGCGGACAGTACATATAATGAGCATAAAGGATATATCATATCATTGAAACTCCAAGATCAAATCAAGTGCTGGTACTGATTGCTCCACATTAAATTTAACGTTTTTGAAATTGGCAAAAGGCCACCAAAAGGCAGTGGTCATGCAGTAGTTCGCTCAGCTTCTTCCCAGACTCCAAACCTGTCAATTACAGTTACTAACTGGGTCAGCAGAGGTCATTATGTGCCTTTAACTCTCCCATATACATACACTTAATGTCACAGCCAGGCCAGTCCTGTTGTTTCTCAGTACAAACTGTAGCCATTACATACCAGGCCCAAGGAGTCTGCTATAACAACAAAAGGGCTATTAAATCTCCCATGCACCAGTGGTGGCCCCAATTACATCTACTTCTCAGGTAGCTCTGGGTGGCTGTGGCTGTGGCTATGCTAGGCTAGTCACGTTCACCAGCCATGCTGCAATTCATCTTCAGAAATTACCTAAATGCAACAGCTAGCGATTGCATTACCCATGCTTTGTGAAGCATTAATGATAGGCAGCTTGCATTTGGATGATGAATTACACAATAATGTTTTTCTTTCAGTGTACAGTGTATTTAACGTTTCCTTAATGGTCAGGTCTGTCTATGGTAATGCTGTTCGGTTATATTTTTCATGTATGTGGGTGTTTACCTTTTCCCATGTGTGTTTTTCAGCTTTATTCAACCTTATTCCTGTGGGCCTCAGAGTTGTCGCCATTCAGTCCGTGAAGACAGGGTTATACATCGCCATGAACGGGGAGGGCCATCTGTACACATCAGTAAGCAGGCTGCTCTATTCTATCCTGTCAAAATATCTGAGCATGACTTGAAAATATTGATCATGTTCAAGCATAAGGGCATACAAAAAAAACCCACACACACAAATATGTGTCCTGATTTGAGGCTTGTTTGTATCTGTACCATGTGTGTTTTACGTTTAAAAGAGCAGAGATTCAAATACATATGTTGATCATATAGGTAAATTCATTAATCTTCACGGCAAGCACAACACTATTTCCAATAAGGGGCACTGAACATGTCTCAGACATTTATAATATTACCACACTGCAGGGTAATTACATTTCACTGAAGGTTGGGGGTCCTTTTAAGCAGAAATTCATGCATACAGATTTCTGTTCAACAGGTGAAATGCCATTATGGCATCTGCTTTCGTAAGATTTCTGAGTATCAATCTTTTGCTCTGTTAGTCTACAAAAAATGAATAGGTGCATTGGCATGTTTAGCATAATGTAAATAAGTAAATTAAATGGAGACCTGTTTTTGATCAGAGTTAGGACATTTTAGGAGCTGCCAATCTTTTTCACTTTGTAGTCACTGACTGTTATTGACTACCTCTCTTCAAAATAAACGAGGCTTCTGTGGACTAGACAGCCGAGGGAGTGATAAGACCTCACTCCTTCACTCTGTCCTCTCCCAGTCATTCAAAACAATCAGCAGGAAGAACATTGGGAGTAGTGCTCCTCTCCGAGACAGCAGTATCCATCAGAATCACCGTCTCCTTCCCTCTGGTGTCCTCTTGTTCCTAATCCTGTGCAGAGCAGGAATCGCCATCTTATTCTTCATTCATTACCTTGGTGGTTTAGAGGGGCCACTTCTCTTACTGTGCAGTGTGCCGGTATTCCAGTGGAATTAGTTCTCTAATACTTAATCACTGTAGTTTTGTATGTTTGTTGTTTTAATATTGACTTTTTGTCTTTTGTTGTCCTTTACAGTAATTCAAATTAATTAATGAAAATTGACTGTGTTTATATATCGCATATGTTCTCACGATTTTGCCTGTTCCACCTGTCACATTCAGTAATTGTGAGGTGTTTGTTATGTCTGGAAGTTTATCACTGATGGGTTGACATTTCTGTAAGCTGACAGTCATTGTTGTTGACAAGTGTTGATTGCCAGACTTTCTTTATAGTGGACAAAATCCAGCAGTGATAATGTTACTTCAGAACCTTCATTATGAGGTGTTTTTGTCATTTTTTCCACTAGCCACTGAATATGTTTAGTCCAGGCAGAAGTGTTGTGAAGTGGGTTTCGTTGAGCGCGGTCGGGGCGAAGTGTTCCTTAAGCACAGTTTGCCCTGCTCCTGTCTTCACACAGCTCCCCTGTTCCATTTGCAGCTTATTTCTGTGCTAATGGAGCTTCTGATCAGACCTCAACTATCCAGCCACCCACTCAAATGTCTCTTTTTGCTCCTTAGTGTGTGAATTACTCTGGTAATGGTAGCCTTGTAAGATTTTCTTCATCCTCCTCCATCTCCTCCTCCCCCTTCTTTCTGCCTCTTCTGTCCTCCTCCGTAAGTAAGGTACAACCATTCCTCCCATTATCACTTCCTTCGCAAGTGAGGATCTGACAGTCGACCTTTTCTACCCATTAAGGCTGTTTGATTGCAGTGCACTCAGATTTTTCAGAAACAACTTTGAAGGTTATAATAATTCAGAAGAACATGTTGCCTTGGTACACATTATATATGGCAAATCTGCAAAACAAACAACAAAAAAAGAGAAAAGGTATTCTTTCTCAATTTGGCCACATTTCCCTAAAGCCCATTTCCCTTTTTTTATTAACTAGAATTCACTTGGTCAGTTGTTATTCTTCCACAATATTAAATACATTACAGAGGCTTTTACTGTGATGACGTACTTTGATAATGAATCTTTTTTTTTGAAGAGATGAGGTGAATCAAAAGGAGAGTCCCACTCTTTCAGAAAATAGATGGAAAGCCTTTCAAGGCTTTTGGTAGTGCATCATATTCTTTTGTGTGTGTGGCACTCAAGGAGCGGTGTGCGGCTCAAATGATAGAGATAGTATCAAAGTGACTGTGCAGCCTGGTACAAAGGGCACACCATGGAATAAAGGAGAGTTCAATCATCTCACCCCTTTTTAATCTGCTTCTTTTGTATCTGAGAGAATAAACTCCCAGCTAATTCTCCTCCAGGCTGCTCCCTGGATCAGACATTTCTGAAATTTAATAAAAGGAGAGGAATTTTCCCAGCTTGTTGTGTATGATAGCGGAAACAGGACTTGTTGTAGTCTCTAACTAACTGTAATAGAACTCTTTGTGCATAAACAGACACACGTAAAACCTTAATTATTCTGTAGGGACTATGATATTAAATCTCTAAAAGCAAACAAGGAAGAGTTGGATTGTGTAGTTTTGCTACACATGATGAAATGATGATGCCAAAGAATGCAACTCCCTAGTGCTGATTTAGTTGTTGTTTTTCCTGTCCTGATAATACAGTCTCCTACCATTTCTCAAGTATAAAGGTTGGGCATTTCATGGTCGGCTGGTTTTCTTTAGAGCTAGTTCCCCATTCCCTCAAAACACTAGAGTCTTACACTGCAGGCTTTCTTTATCAGGAGTCTGCACTTGTTAGTGCTACCTTTCATGATTGTCAAATTGACTTGCCACATAACTTGAGTGGTCCTTCTACAAATGAAATCCTTCATAGGAGCAATCAGGAGCAGTGCAGTGGCTTTAGCTTCACTTGTTAGAGGCTGTAACATCAGCCATGTAGAAGACTGAGGGCATCTGTTTCCTGTAGTGGCCAATACAGAATATATAACAGCTCCAAGGAGCCTGATGTGAGGGCTCCCTCAGTTTGCATCAGTATTAAAATGAAAGTGCATGGCGGCTATGTGTAGGGAAGAATGGAAAAGAGCGGCTTATTCAGGAGTCAGTGGAGTGAAACCAAGAGAATCCTTTCAGAAGGCTCAAATCCCCCGGGTTTGGGTATTTGATATTTTCCCACCAACATTCTTATTCAACTTCTAGCCTCTTATGTCGTTTTTCTAATACTGCTCTCAAATGTTCTGCCTATTAAAGACACCTTCCGATGGATGCACTTTGTTCCCTTGCTTTCATCTTCAGGTGTCTTGCAAAGACATAGTCTTTAATGGGTGGAGAATTCAGTTCCACCTGATATTAAAACGACCTTTCAGTGTGAGATCACAGAAGATTGGGATATTTACAAAGCCCTGTTTGAGATGTGTGCATATGCAGGTATTGTTTTATCTTTTCTATATACTGTATATGGATCCCTTGCAATTTTATATTTAATACTGCTAATAGTTAAGCCTGTCAATTGCATGGCCACACATGCACAATGGAGAAATCTGCATTAAATATAATCTGAAAGCTGCAATCAGTGCAGTAAATCCTCCGTAATCTTTAGTTTTTGTGTTCAACTTTGGTGAACTTTGACAACCAAATTCTATTGGCCAATAGTATACAGTCTTGTCTGTACTGATCTTTGAGGGAACAGAGAACTAGACACCCTAAAACAGAGCAAGATAACAGGGGTTATTAGTGTTACACTGCATACTTTTAGATAACCCTGCTCTACTGAATTATAAATTGCTCTACAAAAGTACAATAGACAGGAAACAAGAGTTTATTGTAAAAACATGCCAAAAAAGTAAGAATAGTAGAGATAACCAATCCAATACAGGTCATAAAAGGCTCTCATGTTCTATGAAATACATTGTATTTAGAATGTAGCATTAAGTTATCTAATGAAACAAATTCAAGTATGACCCTATGCCCCTCGTTTTAGTAGAGACTTTGTCCATTATCATATTTAGAAGTATGCACTTTCTTGCACAGAATGTTAGCATTTTATGAAGTTTACATTTATATTTATTATTAGTAAAGCCATTTGGTATGCCCTATAATATGCCAACACCTCTGTATTTTCCTGCAAAAGACCACAGGCAAAGAGTAAGGCTACTTGTCTCTATTTTGCACTACACAGACATAGAGTACAGAAGTTGGCACAAAACATATGGCGTTGCGAAGGGGATATATGAGCTCTGTGTAAAATCTTGAGTTGAATAGCTTTTATTCTGTTATAGATGCTCCCAGGAATCATCCTATTCATCATCTATAATATCTTTATGATGTTCCTTTTCCCATGTTTCCTTTAAGTGAAGGATGCCTGTAATACCATACTCTATGAGCATACTGTGATAAAAGCTTCTAAAATTTCCCTATAATAAAAGAAAGACTACCTGTGCTAGTGTCCCTGCTAACAGAATCCCTTATCTGTAAATAACGGAAAAGTCCTGTTTTTGAATATAATGTCTTTTAGTCAGTTAAAACAGATTCATCCATCGTCAACCGCTTATCCTGCATACAGGGGGGCTGGAGCCAATCCCAGTTTATATCAGGCGAAAGGTGGGGTACACCCTGGACAGTTCGCCAGCCCATCGCAGGTTAAAACAGATTAAAATTGTCTTTAGTTGCCCAAATCCAGAAACCAGTGTCTGTTGTACCTGGCAACAAATAAAGTTAATCACATATCGAAATGTGACCAAATCATCTTATGGCCAACCATGCTTTAATAGTGCCTACTGTAATGGGGTTGTTACAAGCACATATCAGAAATGTAAGGTTTTTAAGAAACAATAAGTTCTTTAAGTGAAATTTGGACATGGCACAAACATGTCTCTTAATTAAAATGAGTGAACTTCTTTCTATTTAGCAAGGCAACTGGCTTGGAGTGCCATTGTGCCTCCCAAGTACTGGCATGTGGCAGTTGACTAGTATGCTAGCAGGTCTTGGACTGCTGTCAAGTGAACTCTGGATCAGTTAATTTATGGTGTAAACTATTAATGGGAAGCATACCATTGTATGTGTCATTTCATTGGTTAAAAAACCTTTTCTCATCCTGCTTTGGTGACCAGTGAACTAGTAGCAGATTTGCTACCAAGATGTCAGCTAGCAGGGGACCTGGACTGTGAGATGCCTCCTGAATATTTGGGCTGAAGAGAACACTGAGGTATTAAAAATATTCAGCGATAAAATAAAGGAGAATGTATTCCAGCAACGCGTTCTCATCTAAGTGTGTCTTTACCGACGCTTTCAAACAGTGTGACAAAGCGTAATTATTTGACGTATGAAACACCACAGTTTTCTATGTCGCAGCAACACAAAGGAGGCTGATGCCCCAGAGCATCTCATACAGACGCATCCGGGAGCGTCCCGCACCTGGTGCGTCTCACACAGACGCTGAAGTGTACCTTTAGCATCAAATAACTACGCTTTGTCACTTTTTCTGAAAGTGTTGGACGACCCTGAGATGAGAACGGTCTGATTCCAGCGATCTGTTGAGCAGTGTCTTGTGAAAGAAATGTGTCAACAGAACATCAGAGTACTGTAGTATGTAAGTATTTGTAGGGGGTTGTTTTTTTTACCCGCTTTTTGTTTACAATTTCTGGACCATTTGAATTTTGCCTTTGTGAAGGCAAACTGGACCAGCTGGAAAATGTAGCATACTCACATTGGTTTGATTCAGTAAACAGATCTCTTGGTGTTTACCCGGCCCAAAGGGCTGAGGGAAAATTGAGCCAAAGGTGTGTTAGGTTAAGGCTAAGGCTAGAGAATGCATTATGTCAATGATGGGTCCACACGGAGACACGAGAACGTGTGTGTTTAGACCACATACAACATCAAGGCCCAACAGATGGCTTAGTGTGAACACGTTTTATTGGTGTTGATTGCAAACCTTCCATGAATGAAAAAGATCTTATTCACAGTTTCGTGGTTGTTTTTTGGAAGGATAAACAATGAAGGTGGGTCTCAAATGGGGTCTCTGGCATTTAGATGTGAATTACTTACAGTGTGCAGTAGTCTAACTTATATTCTCACTTTTGAAAAAATACATAAAACACATGTATGTAATGAAATTAAAGATTTTCACAAATTCCATAATTTCACCAACGAAAGTGATGCATTATTTGTCACCTTGACATTCCATAGCAGCATCAATGAAACAGGCACAAGTAACAGATCAGACAACGTTATGCTGACTTTGGACATAAATGTTAAAAAGAGTCACTTTTAGCCTAGAAGACAAAATAACAAATAGCTGAAAACCCACTTACAAGTATCACATTTTTTAAGAAACATGCTTCTCTTGCATCATGATTTAGAGATTAAAATGTTCTTAAATGTTATTTGTCATAGACATTGAAAGTTCATGTTTATGTTTTTTACATTGCCTATTTGAATTTAGTAACAGTAGTGAGACAGGAAAGGCATGGAAGATAAACATATAGTGTGGCCTTGCCTTGTCGGACTCGACCCTGGGCTGCTGCAAAAAGAACTTAGCCTCAATACATGGTGCACACTTCACCAGGGGACTACGGTGCGCCACTACCATGTTTATATCTTTAAGCACTTGAACAAATCCACAGACACACATAAAAACACCGTAACAGCAGAACAGCAGAAAAGGGTGCTAGCCATTATATTTTCACATTCCTACACATCTCTGGCACACTTAGTAATTAATCAGATGATTTTACCTTAGGAGTGTCATGCTCGGAGCTGAGGTAGGGGAAGCCTCATTATTTCCAAAGCATTGCTCTCTTCTCCCTTTAATGCAGTGTCAGTGTCAGGAAGGGTGGCGGCCATAAGGGCTGGAAGGAGAGCAGCTTCATGCATTAATGAACAACAAGGTTGGAGGTAGGCGTCAAAGCTGAACTGTTGGTCAGGGCACAGAGCTAAGAACAGCCATTTAGCCATTTGATATCATTATTCCTATTAATGGTTTCCTAATAAATGGATACTCTTGGTTTGTTATAAAATCTCAGTAAACATGCACTGGCTGATAATATGTGGCAACACTTTCGTCCTTTGCAGAATCATCTCAGTTCTTATGTTCTATGGAGTTGTAGTTTTGGATGTGCCAGTGGAGAGAAGAGTTTTGCATCACAGCAGTGAGTCACCAACCATAAAACAGGGAGTCCCCCCACAGAGTGTTTGGCTTTACCTGTGGGGATTATGCCTCTCTGAACAATAAATCATAAATACCCCACACAGCTGATTTGTCCCTTATCTCTTCCAGGTCAACAGCTTAAGGTCTATTAATATCGCATCTTCCCCTGTTCCTCAATCATTCTTTTATCCCCCTGTTTATTTTAGGCAATTAAGAGTCTGCAAGTGCAGCTGTTTTCTGAATCACTGGTTTAGATGACACATATTTATGATATGCAGTATAGCAGTCAAGTGACTGAATGTGCTGGAAGTAATATAAAGGAATACATAACACTTGTAGTCCTGAATGTATTCATCATGTCTTGTAAACTGACTTCACTGACAGCCAGGACCTTTCTGTGCATGTTCTCCCTATGTTTCACTCTTAAACGGTTCGATATTATAAGTCAGTGTAGTGATGTTGGTTTATGATTGGTGGGGGTTCCCAGTGGACGTACAAGACGTAGGGACGTTTATAATAATAATGATAATGATAATCATGAGCCTGCAAATTAAACCTTAATAGCCTCTTAAAGCAGGCTAAAGCAGTTTTCATTTCATAAACAATTTTCAGCAAACTGAGTTCTGCAGTCAATCATTTAATTATTTTCACTTTTCACGATTAACTATGCGTCAGTGTTTCCTATAGTATATGTTATCAGAAAGTGCATGGTGCACAAAAGAAATCTGGAAAAGATTCTAAAGATCTAAGGAAAATAATTCGGTAACACTTTCTATGAAGGTCATCGCTATAATGACTTATGCATATATTTATAACACGATATAATGCGTCCATAAGACATTATAACAGTTGTTATAATCACTTACAAACATGCATTAGGCGCTATAGCAAAGTTCATAATTTATTATGACCTTTTGATTTAATGTTTTATAACTAATAGTAATACCAGTTTATATCAATGTTTATTTATTTATATCAAAACGTAGCCTATTAAAAGACATTTTAAAGTAATTGAATGGGAATACTGTTTGGGCAGTAGGAATGAGAATCTCTTGGCATCTCACGATTCGATTGGATTACAACTCAGAGGGCGGTGATCCATCTTGATGCATTTTTTTTTCTGTGTAAATTCTGGATAATTACTAAGCATTTCGTTTACACATTAAAATCCAAAAGAAATGTCTCCTCAATTGCTTAAAAGGACTAGTTTACATCCCTGATTTACTTTAGTAGCCTCAGCTCCTCCGTGGTCACCAGCGTCCTTCCTTTAATAACCAGTTGTTTGACTCCTCTGGACACTGAAATATAATTTAACTTAACTTGCAGGATGTACAGTATATGTAGAGTACATCAACTTTAGCTTCAACCTGCTGTTCTCATTCCTCAATAAGTTAGGTAGTAATGACATGCAACTAATTTAGCTAACGTTACACTGCAGCCAAAACCGTGCTTTACAGACCAGGGATCTGTTAGCTAGCGTTGAATACAACACTGGTCTCAGACCAGTAACAGAGATCACGGGTCTCTGTTATGTGCACACCTGCAACTGTCCGGGCGCTGCACTTCTGAAGGTTCCGCCATTTGCGTTCCGTGAACATTACAGTATAGTACAGTATAGTTTACTTCTTTGCGATGCGGACGTGGAAGATTCTGAATTGATTATGAATGAGAGAGAGCGAGCAGCAGAACGTGACGGTGAAAATTAGCGGAGGAAAATATTTAAGTTACTTAGTAAGTTGTCAGTCAGGCAGAACATGTGCAGTGTAGGTCACAGTGTGTCCATTAAGTCTGTTGTTTCCGCAACTGCTGGAAAAGTGAGCTAGTTAGCGCTAGCTAACAGTATTCCTAATTCCCATTTCAATTACGTCTTTTAATAGGCTACGTTTTGTGAAGTGGTTGTCTTTAATCGTCCACTGCATCTGTTAGGGCCTGTCCATAGGCTCGCCATTCATCTGTGACAACATCTGAGCCTCGCCTTAACGTTACATGATGTTGGTCAGCAACAGGTCTTCTCTTGAGCGAACTTTCACCACCCTGACAACGAGTTTTCTTGATTTAATTATGTTGTGTTTTTGTGCTAAACTGCAAAATGTTCAAAATTCATACAGATTGTTGATAAAGTGAAGAAACATAAATAAAAGTTGTTGTCCTGCGCAAAATGTGTCTCACTACTTAAAGCAAACAATTACGTGTTATAAGGTCTTTTAATTAGTTCATATGGTATTATGTCCACCTGTAATATATTATACAGGGATAGATATTTAAACACTTTAGTTAAAGCAAACAAAGACATGCTATATAACTTTAAACATTACTATAAGCTATTATTCCATTTTATATCACTAATTGTAAATGGTGACTAAATTGTATTCATAACGAGTCGGTGGTTATAATGTGTTATGGAACATGGTCGGAGATTCTTGCCGCACATTGATATAAACTGGTATTACTATTAGTTATAAAACATTAAATCAAAAGGTCATAATACATTATGAACTTTGCTATAGCGCCTAATGCATGTTTGTAAGTGATTATAACAACTGTTATAATGTCTTATGGACGCATTATGTCGTGTTATAAATATATGCATAAGTCATTATAGCGATGACCTTCATAGAAAGTGTTACCAATAAGTTCTTAACAAACTGACAAGCAGTATAAGGTTTTTATAATAACAGTCATTAATGTTTTGTATGATGACTCTCAAATGCAAATCACTCTTGGAACTGGTCCATTTTATATCTGTTAGCCTTTTCCATCAGATTCTTTGCTTTAGTTTTAGTGCTTTGCTTTGGTGATGGCCCCACATTAATGCTACACAATGTCCTTTCCTTTACAAGTCAGTGTTGTGCACAGTTCCACAGCTATGTATGTTCGTAGAAACATGTTCGAGCTATATTTCTCCTCCCCGAGTGGGCAGACTTTCTACCATAGTGGCCATCAGCCAACTATCGATCTGTCAGCTAGAGCTTACGCTGAATCTCCCTCATCCATCTGGAATAATCCCTACATCTCTATTAAAATGGAGTGGCCAAAACACACAAGTGGTTAGTCGGCATTGTATGGATGCTGCAGGGATAGCTATAAATTATGTGCTGCTGACAGATAGTGGCAAAGCAGGAGACAGGAACGAATACAAATACTGCATCGACTGGTTGGGAGAAGGCGAGTTTGAAGAAAAGAACAGAGAGGGAACTCCGTGGTGTGTTTTGCAGGGAAAGCCCTGCTGCGGTCAATATAATCAGTGTTGCATGCAGACAACCACTGCTAGATGCTTCCATTTGTCTGTTGCGACTTCTGCTAAAAGCATTAACCATTTTGAGCCACAGAAAAAGACACGATCCAACAAAACCAACAGCCTTTTAGAATTGCACATACTAATTTATCAATTTCTTATTATAGCAGGTTAAAGAATGCCTTGTATCAAATGAGTACTAATATTTGTCTTCTCTGTTGGTATTAAAGGTATAGATATTATCATTTCTGCATTAAAATGTTTAAAAACCCTAGACCTATGTTGTATACTTTGTTGTGTGCTGACATTATCCCAAATGTTTCCAACAGAGTCCAGAGAAATCTTTAATTTTATTCAAGGTAACAGTGTGTTTCACTTGGTTGCCTGTCAATGGCGTCATGTTCCCTCTAGCTGCTATAACTTCTGGGGAAACATGGAAAGAGTGAGGAAGGAAGTCGGTGAACCTGACAAAATGCAGCGTGAACAAAACGTATTCATATTATAATTCATATGATACATGATTTCTGCCTGAGTCACATCAAATAGATTTTTTATCAGCAATGGTTGTTTAACAATGAAGACAGCAACTCTATGCTACTTCACGACATCAGTTGTTATTGTTTTGATGTGCAAGATAAGTGGCAGAAATTACATGTTTAAATGGAAAGACAGCGGAAACATTATTGATCCAATCTCTCTGTGACAGGGCTCTACACTAACTTATTTCCCCCAAAGGTGTACATGTGCTTCTAAATGAAAAAATTAGGAGCCTAGTATCTGGACACTAGGCATGCCTGAAAATATTATCAATATAAACACTCACAGATTTATTTGAAAACACTGAAAACAGCTGTTAATACATGGACACAGCTTGTTATGTGAAAGATTACGGTAGGTTGTAGTTTTTCATTTTTCCGGTCCACACATAATTTTATATTTTTAGGGGCATATGCGAGTCAAGAACTCCACTGTTGAGCCCTTTGTGAGAACTTTTTAAGAGACAATATTGAGGGACACTAATTTCCATAAGGGAGTCTAATATGGCAGTTGAATAGTCTCAGTATTGTAATGTAATGTAGTGAATCCTATTTGTGTGGATTCTTTCTGTTTCAAACAAAATCCACGAATGCTAACTAGCGGCTACCATGCTGCCATATTCATAGTCACAGAAACGGATCCAGATTTACAGATACAAATTATACATTCATTTTTGCATTATCTGTGAATACTTACGAGACTGTTCTAATCCCATAGACTTATTCGTATGGGCTGTGCTTTGGTTGCCTGCCTAAATATTTCCTGCTAATGCCCCCATCTGCTTCCTAATCTCTATACTAAGTGACTGAATTGTTGCATAGCAAGGAAAATGTTTTAAACTGTACTAAATTGTATTTTTTATTAAATATTGGAATACCCCAAGTAATTATGTTTGATTACTTCTTTTATTAATTAATTGAAATGATTACGTTTATATTTAGTGCTTGAGTCAAGTGCTTTCATTCAAGAATTATTAATAACAAACAACTGACCTGTTTCTGAGAAAATATTTAAAGTAAACATTAAAAAGGCTCTAATGGGTGATTGGAA